TATAATGTGTTCAGAAAAGTTCAGACTGTTGCTATATCTTAAACCCAGGTCACGAACAGTGTTGAGAGGTTTGAGTGTATGTGTCTGTACAGTCAGATTTAAGTTAAGACAGCGACCAATGTGAATAAATCCGCTTTTGTCAACATTAAGTGGCATATTCCACGAAATAGTCCATTCGTACAACTTGTTTATTTCCTCCTGGATTATCGCAGAAATATAGCTTTCTTTCATGGGAGAAGAGAATGAATAAACTACTTTCAGGTCATCAGCAAAAAGGAAAGGCTTACCATACTGAAAGAGGGAACACACATCATTGATAAAAAGGAGAAAGAGCAATGGACCAACCACACTTCCTTGTATAACCCCACTGGTTACATTTACAGGTTTAGAGTAGCAAGATCCATAGCGAACGATTTGGCTACGTTCTTCTAAAAAAGATTTGAGCCAAGATAAAAGGGGATTCTGTATGCCAAATGAAGAGAGTTTTAAAAGAAGAAGTTTGTGTGAGACACTGTCGAAAGCTTTACTAAAATCGAAGTAAAGAATTATTACTGACTGACCAACATCTCTTCTCTGGGTAATTTGATCAAAAAACTCCAGGTGCGATGTGAAACATGAGCGTTTAGTCATAAACCCGTGTTGGGATGGGCTGATCAGACTAGCTGAAAGTAAAAATGATAGTAGCTGTTTGTGGATGATTTTTTCCATGGTTCTTGACAGCACGGATGTCAAATTAATTGGCCTATAGTTAATAATATCACTACGTGGTCCTGTTTTGAATCTAGGGGTGATAAGGGATGTTTTTCATGCAGATGGATAGGTCCCATATTCCATAGACAGATTGAAAAGTTTCAAACAAAATAGTGGAAATTCTTTACTTCCATATTTCACAAATGATGTAGGTATCCCGTCAGGTCCACCATCATAAGACTTTTTCAGGGTAGTTATGGCCTGCTTGATGTTGGAGGGTGTGAAATCAATTTTCGACAGATGTCTGGATGTTAGCATTGGAAATGAAATGATGGAGCTTTCAGTTCTAGTCTTGTAGCACTGCGAGAAGTTCTTGCTGAATTGTTCGCATATAGTATTCGGGTCGTTAACAATGCTTCCGTTAACTATGAAGAATTTGGTCGTGCCAAGGGAATTTGACTTTACACGGGATTTAAAAAGTCGAAGTATTGATAATTCTGGGCTTTTACTACGTAGAGCTTTATTTTCTATATTCATGAAATACTTATGTTTAGATGAAGCATTTCTGTCGATTAATTTAAATATACTCTGAAGTGCATACACATCATTCTGCTCATAGTAGCGGTATTTTAATTTCCTCAGCTTTCTTTTAAAAGTATTTTGGCCCCTATTAGCATTATAAGCCACACGGCCAATAACTGGAGCAGTGCAGTCAAGACAATATATCAGGTTGTGATATAGATTGGAAAGCGCAATGTCAACATTATTTGTGGTAAAATAAGTTTCCCATGGTAAACATCGAATGAGAGTTTCAGTCCGTTTCCATGTTTGTTGATCAAAATATCTGCTCTGGTACGTCGTTGAAGTTTTAGAGTTCAATTGTATGGCGTTTAAAGAGTGAATAATGCTCAATACAACTCTATGGTCACTCATAAAAAACTCATGACTGGTATGCACTGAGATAGAGTCTATGTTGATTGTGAACATTAAATCAAGTGTATTATTCCCCCTGGTTGGTTTTCGTACCTGTTGAACCCATCCACAAATTTCTAATGTTTCAACTAGCTTGTTATATCGACCTGGAACCGGAGTCAAGCCCCATGTAATTTTTGGCAGATTAAAATCACCTCCGATGATTTTAAAAGTATGAGGTTGATGCGAAGCAATGGAAAATATGTTTGTTAGTAATCTGTCAAACTTAGTATCCGCATGAGGTGGTCTATATATGCATCCCACCAGTAAATAATTTTGGGATCCACAGTTTACAGTAACCCAAGTAGAGTCTTCTATAGCATCAAGGGATTTATCCTCAAATTTGCACGCTTGAATGTCTGAACGTACATAGATAATTGTACCGCCTCCTATTCCATAACATCTATCGGTTCTAAAGAAAACGTAGTTATCTACATTCAAGGAATGATCGGATATAGATGAATTACACCACGTTTCCGTAATAAGTACAATGGTTGGATTTACAAGGAATAAAAGAGTTTTAAGATGAATAATTTTATTGGACAGAGAGCGGGCATTGAACGAAAGAATAAGAAACTCAGAGTCATCATAGTGAAGTAGGTTGGAGTATAAATCGCAATTGGTAGTTCCATGAATACTCATAGGATTAGCTAAGGTAAGAGTTGTGTTGCGAGGGGAAATAGATTCAACCACTTTGTCATCATGTGAAATATGTTTACCGTTGCCGTTGTTCATTATATCTTCGTCCCTACACAAAAGCAACGATAATTCGTTGTTAACAAACAAGGATCTTCGTTACGAGCAGGGATTTATTAATATATTTATCACCATCTGAACCTTCTCTCACAATCTCCCTGCGGATTCGAATTGCTTTAGAACAGACATAATATTAGGATCAGAAACATTTTATTTGAGGCACCAACATATAAGTGAAAAACTTCTTAAGTACTCATCTGTCTCTTTTTATTTTAAAACCATTAATTTTCGAGGGCGTTTATGAATTTCGTGGTTTAAGGTGACAGAATATTCTATGGTCAACCTCTGAAAATATTCTAAATTATTTTCAGTGTTTAACTAAGAATTAATCTGAAAGGCTCATTCATCTAGTCCGCTTACCTGAGGAAGGATACTACTCTCTTGCAACACGTACATAAAGAAGATACATGGAGTAAAAGACAAACCCTAACCAGCTCTTCTGGAAACTATAAACTTGCAACTTGTTCAAAACAAAAAATGAGAATAACGTCATAATGATATAGCATATTATTTTAGTAGATCGACGCTTCGTTTCATTAACAAATTACAATTAATAGGGATACCATTGAGGCTAGAACTTAAATGAACCAGACCAAAAATCCAAGCCAACTTTTTTATGGCCGGCAGTCTTAGAATACAAAGCTCATTTTTTAAATCAAATGTTATTGTACCTTCTACAGGGCTTTCCTAAAGAAGGCTCGACATTTATATAAGTTCTGCAACTGCTGGGGGTGATTGTTCTCATCTTGCCATTTAGTTACGGAAGGGACACAACAAGCAACATAAATTTTCATCATCAAGAAAAATCCCCTACCACCCAGAAGTAGACTTTAAAAAACAAGCATTCAACTAAATCTATCAGGAAGAATTGAATTTCGGCATCCTAACAACGACAGATGCAAGAATTTCAGACGGTTGGATATTCCAGTTTTACAGGACAATCTAAAGCAGGTGGGCTGGGAAGTTCAGTCCCATCATGATATGGATGCGCATTAGGATTTCTTACTGCATATAATTTTTGGTGTGTTCTGAGACCGGTCATCAAAAATTAAAAACAACTTAATGTCGCAAGAAATCGTAACCTTTGCTTGTCAAGTCGCAAAAGATACTAATGAGCGGAATGCAAACGAACTAGCAACAACAGGCAATTCAAACAAGTAAGGAACCAATTCACAAAAGTATTGAGGGAAGAAAGGCTTCAGGATCCGATAAAGCTTATCGATAACTTTGTCTCCAGTCTGTGAAGCCTATTCCGTAATTCAGCCTCTATTCGACAACCCAAAACTAAATGTTTACAAATTTTAGGTACTGATGGCCCAACGAACTCCGCCAAACTTCTGGCAGAACAGTTTTTCCAGACATTTCAACCGTCGCACACTGAATATATCGACCCGAGCTAAATCTTCAACTCAATAGAACTCAGAATTGAACCTTAGCGCTTCCCAGTGTATCAGAAACTCCAGCACCTAAACATGGAATCTTCTCCTGATCCCGGTGTGGTCCATTCTGTTGTACTGAAGTCGGCACTTCCAATCTTGGCACTAAGAAATTAGAAACTGGCCCAAAAGAGGTCGACACAGAGAATCTTCAAGCTACCGACTGGTAGCACTCCTCTCAAAACCCTCACAAATTATGGAGTCTCTGATGTGCAGCGATCTGCATGACTACTTACTATTCATAAATTTCTTCTCACACCAACAGCACGGTTTTAGGAAGGGTTATTCTTTTATAGACAACTGGCTAGCCGCAATAGACAGATGGATAAAGATCCTTGATGACAGAGGGAAGTTCAACGTCATGTACCTTGAATTCTCAAAAGCCTTTGATAGGATTAATCATATATGTCCTATGAATGAGCTCAAACGGTTAGGTATCACATTATATTTAGTTGATTGGCTTTCTTTATATCTAACCGAGGCCAGGGTAAAATTCACGTTCTCAGGCTGCGGAATGTCCTGTTGGGGGCTCCCAAGGCTCAGTGCTAGGACCGCTCTTTTTCTTGAGTTATTCCACAGCAGGCATCGTCATATTTATTACTTTTTACTGTTGTTGTGAAACTCGGGAGAGGTGTTTGCAGCCAAGATAATGAGCTGGTATTTAGGGAGGATTTGACTCGGCCTCACAGTGGACTTAACTTTAACACTCTAAAGTATAAAGTAGCCCATATGGGACATGCTACAGGCTACAAATGCGACTTAGGTAACTCTCCTCTAGAAGTATATGAAATTTTAAAAAATATAGAAGTGTTGGTACCCTACGATTTAAAGTCTTACGCTAACTGTGACAAAAATGCTCTACGAGCAAAACTTGCACTTTAACATTGAAACGAATTTTCAACCACTTCAATGGAAGAATTTTCTTGATAATCTTCAATAGCTATACTCGTCTTTGAAGGTGATCTTTCAATGGCTTGTAGCATCCTAAACAGTTCTGGGCATCCCCTTAAACACAAAACTTAGCAGGAACACCCATAAACTGGAGACACAACTCAGAAGAACGGATTGTAGGCACACCTTCTACTCCTCAAGAGCAGTCAAATGTTGGAATTAGATGCCGACTGACATAGCCCGAGCGACCTTCCAGGGGTCCTTTGAAAGCAACCCAGATATATTCTTAAGGACCAAGGATAGTATCTCATCATAACTTACTAATTCTTTCTTTCTTTCTATTTATCGTCAAATACACCTAGGTTCTTATCTAGAGGCATCCGTAATCCACTGCTACTGGATACGGAAGCCCGTTATCAAAAGTTTGTATTCCGTTCATAATTATTTGAACCATTTGAAATTTTCGAAGGTCGCTGCGTTGGCGGGATTTCCGGATGACAGTCACATCGCGTGATAATGAGTAGTGTACAGATGAAGAACGTGGACAAGGTACTGGAAGTGTCATCCACTCCAATACACTCTAGAGGATGTAATTCTGGCTATGAGGAGCAAACGAAGGTAAGTTGGCGGTATTTTCATCACGAGTTTTTGCTTAGGATTCGCGTCTCATATTATCATCAGCTAAGAAAAGATTGTCTAGTAAATCAAACTCAGAAACCGGAAGCTTCGACTCAGGTATTTTTAAGAAAATTATTTTTTTACTAATTAGCTATTTAATGTAACAAAACTACTATCCCGTTTTATTGAAACGTGTACTTATGGTTCTCTAAATGTCAGTAATTGTGTTTATAATAGGTCCGTATTATAAACGTCTATTTCACTTGTCTACTTTGTTTTTCTTAAGTTTTGCCTAAACTAATTTTTTTGGCTGTAATATCGCAGCGCTTTGCACAATTTTCTCAGTTACGAGTCTCAATATATATTGGAAACTGCGATATTGTTATTTTCATATAAAATAAAACCCGGTCTTCATAAAAGGTTTTATACTTTCACAAGATTCGTTTCATTACTCCTTGTAAACTGAAAAATGGCTATCAACGTGATCTATTAGAATTTGTTTGCACTTACTGATTTATTTTTCTCAAATGTTGACGTATTATTACAAAATGACCACGACTTCACGTTATCCTACCATACGGTGATAAAGTTAGCATACTAAGCTACCATAGACGTAAGTATACAGTAATGCATATGAAAATACTCAATAAGAACAGAGGAAAGCATGATGATATTACGTGGGGTTTTAGTTTGGTAGTCTGATTTGATTTTTCAGGAGTCAAATTAGTCTCGAAATGAAAATATGTGGGAGTTATACTCTTTCTTGTTCACATAGATATAAAAATAATTCTTTTTCATCGTGTCACTATTCAGAAATATTGATCTAACTTAGTATGATCATTTGTAGCTGGTTGTTTATTAGTTATCTGCGTAATGATATACATACGGCTTGGAACCGTCGTACCAGTTCAATTTTTTGTACGAGTATGGTATTAGGACGAAATTAAAATAACTGACGGATTTGTTTCGATAATCGAAAAACAATATTAGAAAGTGCAAACAGTTTCGACATAGCGAATCTATTAAAGTCCTCTAACGGTTGCTCTGCTTGTGAATCTAAGAAACGACATACAAATCCGCCTATATAGACAAATCACTCGCTTTATCGAATCCCTATGAGGACCAAGGTTGGTTTTTAGGAGTTCTCATACTATTCTTGGTTAGGCTTTCGGATTTAGGATTAGGATTGAAAGGTTCAAGTTTGGATTTTCATCATCGGCTGAAATCAGTTATAATGCAAAAAACTGCTTTGTAGTTGCATAGCTATAAAAATCTTAAAAGGCACTATAATTAGTTCGTCCATAAACTATAATGCTGATAGGTCGATGTTTATTTTTGAACCAAGATTGAAATTTAAGAATGGTATTTATTTGCTTGCTATATAAAATATACTGAAAAGGGATTGAACATTTAGTACGTTTAATAATATCACGTTTACTCCATTGTAGCGGAAATAGTTTTTCGTCACCATTTTAGATTTTCTGAGCACTGTAGAAAAATATTTTTACTGCTTGTCATACTTGCTAACGTGATAGTCGCGTTCTTGGTTCTGATTAGTTCGCCCCTAAACTGTACTTTCGCCCAATGTTTCGCAATTTATAGCACGAGAACTTAAGGTCGATAACAACAGCGAAACTAAGTTAGGCGAAAATAGTGAATGGATGTCACTAAGTTATTGGCTCATAAGATGTTTATAATCAGAATGAACATGAAAGATAAACACATCTGATCATAGTAAAAGCTTTTGAGTCATGATTTGTGTAGTCATAGTCATTTTTTAAACCGGAATCCACTGGTCAAAGTACTATGTGGCTATTTGACTGTATGTATTCTAATTGTCTTCTTTTGGTGCTTAGCCACGTTTTTCATATTAAAATAAGCTACTATTTAAGATCATCGGTACTATTGATTTCCGACTTTTCTATTGGATGTTTGTAAACAATCCCTGATCGATCAGTGCCTTTATTTGTCGTTTCGTTTCCAAACTACTGAACGTTTTTTACACTTAAAACTGATCGAACCATATAATAAATGTTAGCAACCTTTTATTTATGAGGATTCATTATCTAGACGTTGGGACTGCGTGCTAAAAACACTGTCCTTGTTTCTCATGTTTGGTTTTGTTGACATACACTACTCATTTATCCCTAAAGAATCAATTTCATCCATTTTCTATGCTTGATATATTTATTTGTTTATTTAGTATACAGCCTTTTCCTTCTACATCTCCATAATATTACCAGTTCATTTTGTGTGGGGAATTATTTCGATCCCCTGTTGTATCGGAATTGTCAGGTGTAGTAAATAGATAAAAATGAACATTTGTTGGGTGGATTTTTAAGCGCGGAAATAATACAGCCCTTTAAGTAAATCCCACTTTTGTTCAATTGACAAGTAACAAACCATATTTGAAATCCTAGCTGTTTTCACACCGTCCACTGCCTAAAGACTCCGCAATCTGTCATGATAAACGAAAAGGCTGTCATTTTGTGCACGTCATTAAACTGGTACCTTTTTTAGCTCCTCATAGGTCTATTTGTAACAACCAAGGGTTGTGTGGTAAATGTTTTCGACATAGCACAGTTAAGTTTTGGTCAATGAGTCATATATAGCAGTAGACCTGGTACGACTATTTTGGTTCAATTCGCTGCACTACGCAGCACATCGAAGGAGGAAATTAACAATGTGAGGGGTCAAGAAAGTGAAAACTATCAGTCATTGCGATAAGCGTACATTTGAAATAATGTTCAAAAGCAACAAAACTAAGAATGAAAAATATGAAGTGAAATCAAGCTTATATTTTAAAAAGAAATAGAAAATAAATTTGTCTTTGCTACTGTAACTGACATTAGTTATGTCACAACATTAGCGACTTCAAATTATGATTAACTCGGTAGTTTACATCTACCGACTCGGCCCAAAATCCCTTATCCAGAATTCCAGTAAGTTATGAGGGATTTCAACCCACCTACCACGTAAATGTTGGATTGAAATCAGTTGAAGGCCAGCTGTCATTTTTCATGAAGCGCAAATAAGAATCGGTTTCACTTAAACGATACCGTAGTAAACTCGATTGCAGCTTCACGAATCGTTTCGCTTTGAAAATTAAGTTTTGAACTCTTTATAACGTTTCTATTTCTGTCGGTTTCGCCTGGTGGATTATCACTTAATCATAGAATTTCATGAGGCATACATATGGACGATAAAACCTGGCGATCGGAATTTACTTTTGATTTGAAAATAGTAAGGCTGTTCGAGCACGTGTGGCGCATATATATTGGCGCTCTCTTGTACCAATATTTATGTGTTCAAATAAATAAATAAAAGCACGTCTAAGCCATTGGTAGCGAGTAACTTGAGTTTAGTGACGTAAACTTTGAGATTGACTTTTGAACAATTATTAATCTTCAGACACAATTGAAACACTGGGTTTATAACTTCGAAAGACAATTCAGTTGATCTATTGCTCAAGTAATTTCCACCAAAACTGTTGTATGACCACTGAATAATCAACATTAACCCACCTAATTTCATGAATTTTTAAAAAATCAAATGAATTTCTTGTCGTAAAACTGCGTGAGTTGTTTCTCAAGATATTGCTGATTTCTACTGTTTATCGTTTCATAATGGAACGATTGTTATGTCAGTCTTCAGAAAAAGGCTGATTAACAAACGACTGTCACCCAGCTATAATAAAAACATTTCAGGAGTGGTGGTGATATGCATCGGCTTTTGTTGTCCCACATCATCTATTGGACTAAGGAAAATTTGAAGAGTGATTTCGAATTGCGTTACTTGTAGAGTGGACGATATTTCTACACGTCAAATAACAGATAAAGTTACTGTGTTTCAGTCTGTTTTGTATAACCGTATGGGTGTAAAGTATGGTCTTTAAAAGTAGAAGACTTACGTAGGTTGTAGGCTTGTAATCGTAAGTATCTTCATGGCGTTGGTCGCGTTTTGTGGAATGACCGAATAAATAATGTGGAGGTTAAACATTAGGCACTAGGTAAAGATGATTGCGGTTGTAGATCTTGATCGACTAAGGTGGTTGAAACGTGTCTTATGTGTCTTACCACCACCTACCTCGACCAAAGTTTGTTGATGTTGATGAATATTGCCTGGGCGTGGCTACACCAAGGCCTATCGTCAGCCAAAGTAATTGACTGTTCGTCTGAGTTATATTGGTGGATGCAGACTACCTGGTTGACATCTACACGGTAACTTAAATCGGTGGTTGAAAAATTTTGTGATGACTCAGAATTGCTTGGAATGTTCCAGATTCATGCACTCTGTGTTTTCTTGTTTTTTTTTATATATCTAGTATCCATTTATACATATTCTTCCACTCTGTCTTTTAGAACTATATTTTTAATACTATCTGATTATCATTGCTAATATAGCAATTCTGGTTCTTCGCCATTTATCTTGTCAAGTCCACCTCGTCTTCTTATACGATATGGGAACTTAGATGAACGAACATTCGTGCCAGGCTCTACGTTAATGACTGTCTGTTGACCACTTTCGTAGTGTGTGGATTAGAAAGTGTACAATACTTGTTAAAAAGGGCACAAATAACTGTATCGCGCGTTTCTTGTTAGTGCGTCTAATGTCTTTGAAAAGACCTATCCAACGTACCTCTGAGCTTTTGTATGCAAGTATTAGGTCTACAGTCAGTTAAAAACTTATGGTTAGTTTAACACTGAAATATGATTTCCATTTTTAGTAAATCAAATAGCAAATTTTGTAGGTTGTTCATTGTTTTGACATTTTCATATCTGTAATCTTGTTACGCTATTTTCTCAACAGGAAATGGTGAATCATCAAAAATTATAAATTGACTTTTTAATTTGATAATTAGTCCTAATTTAGTACCATACATATACCCCGGTATAAAATTTACGCCTTTTGTGCTTATTAATGGTATGAATGTTGACCTGTTTACTCAGTAATATATTTTAAAGCCGCTTAGAAATACTTACCATCCAATGATTTATTTTTCTTGAGCTTGGTTTTATATTGCTATTCATGTGCTGATGCTCTCCGTGCAGACAAGTTTCATTTGAGTATACACGCTGCTATATGGTTTTTGTTTGTGTAACTATCCTCACACACTTCTACAGCAAATTTAATTAATTAAATTTTTACCACTTCATTTACTAGTTTCCTGTTTCTACCTCTTATTGGCTGCATCTAAATCTCCAATGTTAGAAGATATAAAATCAAACTAACCTCTTTTCATTTAATTTTTGACCATTCAGGAAATTTTATCCGACCAACAAAACACATGTCTGTCTCACTTTTTCATCATTTTTGGAAAATACACCCATAAATAATAAGCATAGATGTAAACACACACGGATTTTGGTTAACAGAAGTAGTTCTTTTTTCTTTATTTCATTAGCGGCATTTATTGACTTTAACAAAAAAAATTCCTAGTGTTTTTTACTTAATACATGAGAAATTGTTATGTCGGAATCAACAAGTAATAAATGTAACGTTGAAGAACGTGGATCAGATAATACTAATCCTTCACAGTCAGATCAAATTGCTTTCACTTCTAGTCAAGTTACTCTAAAAGCATTTGATAGCATTGATTCTGGTGATGTATCGACTGATGACCTGCCTAAACTTTGTTCACCTGGGTCTCGTTTAGTACCAGCTGGAAGCCTGACTAACAGTGATAGTACTTCAAGCTATAAAAGTCGAGAGAAACGTCGTTCTAGTGTCCTAATTGACAAACGAGCCTATCATCAAAATCAACATCCCTCTTTGTCTTCAATTTCATCCGGTCAAGATGACTGTGAGTATTTATTTTTATCTTACTCCTTTATTCTGCAATTTTAAAATGTAGGCACAACTCTCCGTTTACGTCCACAAAAGGGAGTTTTTTTTATGAAGCGCTTTCTTTTTTTTCGGATCCCGCTACAAGAATTAATTAATTTTCCATTACTGATACACGTCTTTTAACTAGTATTTCAAATTCTTATAAGATTAGGACGTAGCATTTGTTATTTTCTGTTGAACTGGTAAATTTGGTGATATTAGAAAAAAGTTTAACCGAGTTAATAATAATTATTCTTTTGTCAATTTGTAACAGTTGGAACTAAATTTCAGGTTGTTTGCAAAATGTACCAAAGTGTTACGATACAAACATGACGTCAGTTCAAAAATGACCAACTGTTAATTATTCATATTTTTCACCCTATTTTAATTACTTATAAACTTTTTAGATTTACTTGGTTCTAATTTAACAACGAATTAAGTCATGTCTACTTATTATTTAGTTGATATTTTTTCTGTACTTATCGGTTAGAAGAGTGATTATTTTGTTTGAGTTGGCTAATTATAGTTGGTGTTATGCTATTTAATTAGGTCCTACTTGGGTAGTTAAGTCATGAACAAGTTACATTCAGTCCACAATTATATTTGGATGACTTTTTAATAATTCAGTTTCGTTCATAGATTCTTTTTCATTGTATATTTATTTCATACCTGGATGGCTTTAATGCATCAGATTAGTAGTTTCAAACATACTCTACTAATAATTTTTAAAACGGTACTATATATATATATATATATATATATATATATATATATATATATATATATATATATATATATATATATATATATATATATATATATATATATATATATATATATATACTGACCGTTGCTGCTACCTTGACGTAGTGATTTAGCTTGCCTTTCGTGATGAACCAATCGGGCTGTACTGTATGGAACAATCGTTACTCAAGGTCCTACCATGCCAAGCAGGTCAGTTGAAGGACCGTAAAACTATATGCAGCAAACCCATAGTCCGAGGGCGAAGTTGTACTGCTGACCGTACAGAGGTGTGACAGCAGTAAGGTGTTTCCTTTAGACAACCAGCATAACAGTGATGCTACCTTCCCACAAAGGAAATATGGGGTTAGAAAAGGTCGACACTAAAAATGCACACCTCGTCTTATCCCGCAGATATCCGTCTCCTTCCATTAGGTCTCAACAAGTACGGAGCTAACACAAAAATTGCCCACAAAATGGTTGCGTGTGACTGGCCTCAAGCAATTGTCGCTTGGACACTGCAGTCACGCTCTCAGGTCACTAATACCAACTCATTTTTTTTCAGGTACCTCTCGAAGAACCCTTTCACAGTGTGGGCAACCGTAAAGTAGTAACCGCCCTTATACCTCTGACAGCACTCAAAACCACTATTTATTTATTTGAACACATAAATATTGGTACAAAGGGGCATCGGATACATATGTGCTACACAAGTCACTTGATTTGTATGTGGGCTGTGATACTGTCTGGGTGCCAGACCGAAGCAAGTGGTTTCCTTAGGGGGCCACGCCCGGAGCCTTCGACCTAAAGGTCTGATCTACAAAGCAGTGGCGCAACGTCAGGAGACTCAGTTCCATGGTAGCCGGTGACCAACAATAGGTTCATACGCCATTTGTTCCCTCAAGATCCTGGAGCGCATGTGCACCATTGATTTGGAATCAGGGTTTTCCAACTCCTTTAGGTGGATCCTCCATATCCACTAAACCGGTTAAAGCGCTGAGCATTCGCTTTTCGTCCTTTCCATTTCGTAAACAACACTCCCGCCACAAGAAGGCGGTGAGTAGGACTTCCCTGGCAGCGGCTGTATACGTGTGGCCATATGAGAGCATTCGGGGGCTACAATAACAGGGGGGGCACATTTATATAGCATACAATTCTCTTTGAACCTAGTACACAACAATACCATCATGCACTTTCCCATCGCCTTTGATAGGTCAGGCAACCTGAAAGTCACGAGATCACCATCTGGGCATACGACAGGCTATGTACCTCTTTATTCATAATCGATTACCCTCTTCGATTCCTATTATTCCTCCTACCTCAGTTTTTAACTCTAAATGTCATCTTCGACTTCCTCCTCAAATGTCACCATGGCCAACGATTCTAGCGAGCAAAATACTGTGCCAGGTTTACCTAAACCTAGCTCCGAACTACCACATTGGATCCAAACTACTGACTAATAAAGTGTAAAGAAAATCGCTAGTTGATTTTATATATCACCTTGTGTATCCTACTAACATTGTAACATTTCATATTGACACCAAATCTATATTGAAATCAGTATACAAATAAAATTGTTAAACATGTCAAATTAAGTGTTTTTTAAAAAAAAACATCTATTGATTTGTTTATTGATTTCACATCAATTGATTCTCAATAAAATTCCTTTTTGATTATTAATTTTACGTGAATCCCTGTACTCATCATTATGTGTTAACTTAGAAATTTGTTCATTCTATAAGTTAGAAAATCTTTCTATTTTTGAAATTTTTCAACATAATCGTAAAATCAGGTTTTATCAGTCTTATAGTAGATTATTTCTATGAATTCTATTGTAAAATTTTGTTTTAACCATTTCAATTCCATTTAGGATGAACATAATTTATACTGTTTCTTATTTTTCGAGAATGTCATAAATAGCATCATATAGCTGTATTTATTAAACAAGGAATGAAATCACATAGTTTGCTTTTGAAATTCTATCACGAATAGTTTCATTGAATTTTTGATTTTGACAATTGAACTGTTAGCCGTTTATTATGAGATCTAAATAAACGTTTCTACTTTAAATCAGTCTGTATTTATCTAAGTATTTTGTACTAATAGATATCATTGTAGAGCCTGGGACAAAAATGTATGGATTCACCTAACCACATTTCAAAGAAGCACACAGGAAATCCAGAGAATAGATAGGCCTTATTAGAAAATAAGGAATAAGTCAAATGTAATCCATATATTAGAGATGAAGAGTTTACAAAGCAAATGCAACGGTATCGTCGTGATCAATTTTTCAATCTTAACACTTCAGTTTCATTTAGACTATATCACATATAAGAACTACTAACCTGAAGATATTTAAATTATGTAATTCATTACGCAGTTCTATTTATAGCCTCGGTGAGTCGTAAATGATTGTATTGTATTACATAAACTTTTTGAGGGCTCCTTACTCGAACTCTACTAATCGAGCCAGAGCTTATGGCGAACTGACATCTGATTTCGCAACCTCAAGTGGTGTCCGGCAAGCCTGTCCACTATCTCCATTTTTATTCGATTTCATCACAGACCTACTGCTGGAAATAACGTTCTTGTCGTCTGAATTTTTGGGCATTGACCTCCTTCCAGGAAGTCCACTTATCGACTTAGAATACGCAGATGACATAGTCCTGTTTGGTGAAGACGCTGATAAAATGCAGTGTTTTGGTAGCACTGAACAACAATGCCAGAATGTTTGAGATGGGTTTCTTTTCCTCTAAATGCAAGTTATTGCTCCAGGATTGGCCTGCGTCAACACCTGAACTAAGGATAGGGAGTGAAGTAGTCGAACGCGTCGACTACTCCACTTATCTGGTCAACCCTAATGGGTTGGTGTCTGACAAAATTTCTCCACGGATTCAGAGAGTTCGTTTGGCTTTTTCCAACTTATGTCACCTATGATGAAGGTGAGATATCCGTCTATCAACTAAGGGACGAGCATACCGCGCGGCAGTTCGTTCTGTTCTACTTTGCGGCTGCGATGCGTGGCCATTAATGTTAGAAGATACTTGTAAGCTACTAGTATTTGACCACAGCTGCCTGAGAAGTGTTGCTCGCATCTGCTGGGATCATCGGGTAAGTAATAGTGAGGTTAGACGCAGGGTATTAGGAAATGATGGTAAATCAGTTGATGAGGTTTTGAATCTCCATCGACTGAGATGGTTTGGTCACGTGTTACGTATGCCCGAACACCGATTACCTCGACACACAATGCTGACTAGTTTGGAGATGGATGGAAGAAAGTTAGGGGCGGTCAAACCAAAACATTACATCAGTCCCTGAAGCCACTAACTTCTGGTCTGAGTCATGTTGGTAGATGCAGACTACTTGGTTGGGGTCCGCGTGACTATCGTAACAAGTGGTTGGATACTCTTGGTGACATGGCTCAGAATCGGTCACAATGGTGTAGGTGTATACACTTTTTGTCCTCCCTTAAACCATGAGATCAAATTTACTTTATACCTTTCCTTCTACGAACTGATTCTTTCTCTCTGTATCATGTCATTATATGCAGTTCTTTTTTCTATATATTAATATAATTGAAATAGCTACTTTTATGATTGTGGTTTTCATCCTGTTGTGCCAATGAGGTGTGGCAAGATGGGCCGATGCATATACGTGCCTGGTCCTACATTGCAGCAGATTGACTATTGTATTACTGATTTGATGAAGGTTCATATCTAATTGTTACAGTTACTTTGAATCGTTTCTTTCTTATCGTTAGTTTTTGTGTTTAAAAAATTAAATTTTATAAACGCTATTAATTGTATCATATTGTTCATTTTTGTATTTCGGCATCTGGACTGTAATGTGTTTCTTAATGTGTGTCTTGTTATGTCCTAATTTTGTATAAAAAACATATTCGTCCAAATGAACTGAGCTTATGGTAGGTAGTTGTTTATAAAAAAAATTTATGTGGATCATACTGTCTAACTTGTTACATCTGAATATCAATCATAAACACTTAATTCTTCATAACATTAATGATGTAATATTATTCATTTCTCGTTCATTGACTAGGTCTAAATATTTTTTTGAAATACATTTGGAAATCGAAAACAGTTTACTTTCTGGCAATGTACTAAATAAACTATGACTTTTTTTTTACTGAATAACCGGATTCAATTTGTATTCTATTCACCACGTCGTCTAGTCCATAATAATCAGTCAGTTAATCTATCTACAGAATATTAGTTCATAAGTAATGGATTAATAGGTGTTGTATTGCTTTCTCATTTCATGCAAAGTGTATGCTCTTCAGTGGAAGTGACGTTAGAACACGTTCCGATCAAGCTTTATGTACCCATAATGGAATAGAGCTTTAAACTTCAATTTTAAGTACTGGTTTGTGGTATATTGTAAACCAGTATTTTTCCCAACTCCCGTCATTTATACTTAGAAAACAATATGTTTATAAGAATATAAATCGTACGGCAGTAACGATATTGCCTGATTTCATGCTTTCAGATAAAAAAATAGCACACACAAAGATACATAAATACTCTTGTTTTTCATTCGTGATTAAAAAGCCATTTTTTAATGGATCAATACACAATACCCTTGAAAAGTTCACTCTTGTAGATATTGTTTTGCTTGTTCTCAATGCTAAACTATCGATCTGGAAATTAATAACTGATTTTAAGAGATGCACATCCTCGTTCGTTGTTTTTTCGTAAACTTTGAGTCCTCTTCGTTCCAGCATGAAATATACCCGTTCATTTCCATATCTGTAAAACTTAGACTATATAAGTCAGCATATTTTAGTTAATAAGTGAACTGTTAGCGATGTTTAAAAGTCAATTTCACACTTCAATTATTGGTGCTTAGTCAATGTTTCTCAAGTTAATTTTAGAATAAATGATTTGACATTACGATGCACTCACTGTATGCAGTATTAAGTGATAGTAAATAGAGTTTGATTTAGGATTAATAATAATTCAGTGATAAGTTTTATTCATATAGTTTTCAATACCTAGGGAGTTATTATTGAACTATTACTTACTTAATTACGCCTGTTACTCCTAATGGAGCATAGGCCGCCGACCAGCATTCTCCAACCCACTCTGTCCTGGGCCTTCTTTTCTAGTTCCATCCAATTCTTGTTCATTTTTCTCATGTCTATTTCCATTTCTCGGCGTAATGTTTTCTTTGGTTTTCCTATTTTCCTTTGGCCTTGAGGATTCCATGTGAAAGCTTGTCTTGTTACGCAATTGGGTGCTTTCCTCAATGTGTGTCCTATCCACTTTCAGTGCTTCTTCCTGATTTCTTCCTCCACTGGGATCTGGTTTGTTCTCTCCCACAGTACGTTGTTGCTAATAGTGTTCGGCCAACGGATCTGAAGTATTTTGTGTAGACAACTGTTAATAAACACTTGTATCTTCTGGATGATGGCTTTCGTAGTTCTCTAGGTTTCTGCCCCATTTACTAGAACTGTCTTGACATTTGTATTGAAAGTCCTGACCTTGGTGTTGGTTGACAGTTGCTTTGAGTTCCACATGTTCCTCAGTTGTAAATATGCTGCTCTTGCTTTGCCGATCCGCGCCTTCACATCTGCATCAGATCCACCCTGTTCATCAATGATGCTGCCCAAATACGTAAAGGTTTTTACATCTTCCAAATCTTCTCCGTCAAGTGTGATTGGATTGGTGCATTCTGTGTTGTATCGGGGAATCCTGCTTTTCCCTTTGTGTATATTGAGACCTACTGCTGCTGAGGCTGCTGCCACACTGTTCGTCTTCTCCTGTATTTGTTGTTGCGTGTGCGATAGAAGGGCCAGATCATCTGCGAAGTCTAGATCGTCCAACTGCATCCTAGATGTCCATTGTATCCCGTGCTTCCCTTCAGACGTTGGTGTCTTCATGATCCGGTCGATCATCAGGAGAAAGAGAAAGGGTGAGAGTAAGCAACCTTGCCTAACACCGGTCTTTATTTCGAACGACTTTGTCAACTGTCCTCCATGCACGATTTCGCAGTGTAATCCATCATATGAATTCTGTATGATATTGACTATCTTCTGAGGCACGCCGTAGTATCGAAGAAGCTTCCATAGTGTTGTTCTGTCCACGCCATCAAATGCTTTTTCGTAGTCAATGAAGTTGATGTGGGGTGATGAATTCCATCCAATTGATTGTTCAACAATAATCCGTAGAGTTGTGGTTTGGTCTGTACACGATCTATCCTTATGGAATCCTGCCTGTTGGTCACGAAGTTGGGCGTCTACGCAGACCTTCATCCTGTTTAATAATACCCTGTTGAAGACTTTTCCTGGTATTGAGAGGAGAGTGATACCCCTGTAGTTATCACACTTGCTGAGATCACCTTTCTTTGGTATCTTGACCAGAAGTCCTTCTTTCCAGTCTTTTGGTACTTGTTCCTCATCCCAAAGCCTGCTGAAGAGAATGTGGAGTATCCTTGCAGTTACCGCTACGTCTGCTTTCAGTGCCTCTGCTGGAATGTTGTCTGGCCCTGCTGCTTTGCCACTCTTGATTTTTCTGATGGGCATGCTGATTTCTTCAACTGTTGGTGGGCCAACATCGATTGGGAGGTCCATGGGTGCTGCTTCGATATTGGGTGGGTTCAGTGGGGCTGGTCGATTTAAGAGTTCTTTGAAGTGTTCTACCCACCTGTTTTGTTGTTCTTCAATGTTGGTGATTACCTCGCCTTCCTTGCTTTTCACTGGTCATTCTGGTTTACCCTGATTTCCTGACAGTTTCTTTGTTGTGTCATGCAGTTGTTTCATGTTTCCTTCTCTTGCAACCTTTTCCGCCGTCATTGCTAAATCTTCCACATACTTACGTTTGTCAGTTCTAATGTTCCTCTTCACTTGTTTGTTTACTTTTGTGTATCAGCATGTGCCTTGGTTTTTTCTGCTCTTGTTCGGCTGGTATTCATTGCTGCCTTCTTGTTCCTCCTTTCTTGAATCTTGTCCAGTGTATCAACAGTGATCCATTCCTTGTGATGGTGCTTCTTGTGACCCAGGCCCTCATGAAGTGATTGCTTCTTTGATCCCCTTCCAGTTGCTCTCCACAGTAGTTCCTTCTCCATTGAGTAGATCATGAAGGGCTTGGAACTTGTTGCTGAGGACTATCTTGAATTTGTTGAGTTTGTCAGTATCCTGAAGAAAGGCCGTATTGAACTTTTGTGATGTTGTCTGCCCAGTTGTGCAGCGCTTCTTGAGTTTCAATTTCATCTTGGCGATCAGCAAGTGATGATCTGATGCTATATCAGCTTCTCTTTTGGTTTTCACTTTCTCCATCATCCTCCTGTACTTTTTGTTGATGCAGATATGGTTGATTTGGTTTTGCGTAGTGTGATCCGGTGAAGTTCATGTGGTTTTGTGTATGAGTTTATGTGAGAATATGGTGTAGCCTATGACCAGTTAATTGAAGGAACATAGGATTGCAAATCTCTCACTATTTTCCTTCCTTTCTTTCAGTCCATGTCGTCCCATGATGTTTTCATATCCAGTGTTGTCCATCCCAAACTTGGCATTTAAATATTCCATCAGGATGGTCAGGTCCTTTGTTGGGCAATTCTCGATGATTGACTGCAACCTGTCGTAGAGTTGATCTTTAGCATCTTCATTGTAGTCAGTGGTAGGTGCATAGCATTGGATGACGTTCACTGAAATGCCCTCTTTCTTTGTTTCGAAGGAGGCTTTGATGATCCTTGGTCCATAAGTGCTTTTTGTGCATGTTTGGACAGCATTAATGCAACTCCTTGTGTATGTGGGGCATTTTCTTCTCTATGGCCGGAGTATAACAGAAGCCCCCTTGAAGTTAGTCGTTGTTGTCCAACTTGCGTCCAATGTGTTTTACTGATCCCAAGCACATCCAGGTTGTATCTCCTCATTTCTGCAGCAATTTGGAAGGCTCTCCCGGTGTCCCACATTGTACGAGCATTCAATGTACCTAAATAAATGGTTACTCTGGTTGTCAGAAGGGGCATCGGTCTCGTGAAACCCGAAGGAACTCGGCTTTCATCATGAGGCGTCATAAATGAAGACCTTCTGACTCCCAGGACAGTGCTTAAATGGTTTGAATATTTTTTTCTGGTTATCGTTTTTTAGCGAGTTAGTTTTTTACGGGACGAGGTCGCTAACCCCGTGTCCAACCCTCCCCCTTTATCCGGGCTTGGGATCGGCAGTAGCCCCTGGAGTGACTCCAGGCGGAGTTCATTGAACGATTATAAAAGCAAAAAACACGTCTTTCTATAAGACACGTTAAGTGGGCCAGTTTCACCTCCAATAATCTCTTTAGTTTTCAATAGTTTAAAATTGTTTACTGTACACTAAATTATTCCGCTTAATTGGGAAAAAAATAACCGTTGAAAGAAATTGATTTAATCAGTTTTTTTTACTATCATGTTGATCATTTTTGAATATTGAAGTTACTTTCACCTGGTATGATCAACATAATTGAGTTAATTATATCTGTTTACTTTGAAATTCTTCAGCTTTACTGATCAGCTTTTTATCAATATGTTATAGAGTTGTATTTTATACAGTTCTGTGTATCAAAGCTAAGCTATTCATTTAATTTTTATTATTTAGCATCATATACTGGATCTAGTTCAGATGATGATGATGAAGAAAGTCAACAACGTGAAAATCCAAAGGAACGTTATTTGAAACCTGGACTTAGAGCTGTAAGTTTCGTAAAAATATGTCACCTTATATGTTTCATTCTGTTAGTTTAATATGATAATAAGAAATAGTCTGATGGTTGTTCAAAAATTCAAAGGTGATATAATTATTGACGGAAAAAAAATGCAAATTTTACAAATTTGTTTTCGTTTTTGTCGTTGCATTTTCATTACGACTAAAATTTACGGAACTTTGTTGGACTACCATCTGATTATTTGTTCTACTTTATCGAATCAACCACCATTTGTAAATAGATGTATGCTTAAAGTTTAAAACAGTTAATTACCTTTTTATAACGTTGCCTACTCAACACGGCAAAATAAATTACCATTACCACTACACTGATTGTGCATCACTTGGCTTATCAGTGTTAGATAAATTAAAGATGATATAATTGTGAGATTAAATTCTATTGAAAAGAATTTTTATTAAAAAGATATGAAGAGAATTAACCTAAAAACTAGTCCTAGCACTATAAATCAGTCATTTATATTTGCTATTTTAATGATTACCTGAATGAATAAAAAATTTACCAAGATCATCTAAAGAGTTGCTCAAACTCACTCGCATGTTCAGCCTCACAAAAGCATGTGATAAATTGTATAAAGTAGTATGCTACTCAAACTTTACGATTTTGTTTTCTTTACTTGCCTCAACGAAAAAGCATACAATTTACTCAATTGAAACCAGATGTCGTTAGCTTCGTGTGTCAGTGTCATGTTTTATGTTAGAGATTCTACTTTTCATCACTTACTGCCACTGCTTTTTTCAGAAATCTTCACGTAATATTTTCATAAATCGTTTGGTTCTGTATGTTTCATTTTTTTCCCTAATTTTTCCTTCACATACTACCTTCTTACTGTCATTTGTAAATTGACTACCGATCATTAATGAATTATCAGTTTAATCGATAGGGGTATTGTACACTCAAACCTTGGTTTCTGTTATCGATAATACATCTTTGTTATTGACATTCTCTTCAAAAGTTAAACATATATGTTTTTATTCTTTCCACGAAAGTTGAAAGGAAAAAATTTCAATTTAAGTAAGAATTTCTAAATGAATGTTTTTTTCTCTGTTAAAAAGGCTCTTTCTTTCTCATAATAGGTAAACTCTAGAGGATTCAATGATTTCTGTGTTCAAAAAATCCGTCAAGCTTCTTTTGGACGTAGAGAAATTGAAATAGCTGAACAAGGTAATTACAGTGTTATACAGTTGATACATTTTTTTTATGAATTTCAATGTAGCTAGAATAATATTGATACAGAAGTAATGTGACTTGATTACATTTTGTAAATTCAACCGCTTACGGTCGAAAGCATCTGGATCGTCTTTATTCCATAGCATTATTCTTAAGGATCCACTTGAGAATATTTTTTCTCATTATCAAAGCTCCGCTAATTTTACCCTTTAAGTCAGCCTACTTTTCCCTATCACTGGATTTACATAATCTGTTGGGCTATTGTTCAACCTTCAGTAACCACTTGACTTTATGCTCTTCTCAGTTCTGTCTTTACTGTTTTTTGAATTAAGTTTACTTGTGAATTTGTGTCTATTATTAATTTGTTAACTTGGTTGTACATCCACTGTACTTTTGAAGTTTTTATACTTTTTTTAGTTAAAATAATCGTCAATGTTCACTTTTCCACCTGTAATTGTTGCAATGTTATACCGGAAACACTTAATATATTCATGTGGTTCTAGTTACTTATTAGTCAGTTGAAATTAAAGTGAATTGTTACTTAGTAATATTTACTCATAAAAATCATATTTTAATGATACAGACTCCTAAAGTAAACGGTTGTCTGATAATTAAACAAGTAACTAACTGGATGTTTATTTATACACTTGTAGGATAAGATGAAGCGGTGGCTTGGTAATTATGGGGTTTCGAATTTTTGCTAGTAAATTCTAGGTTCGATACCCCCTCGCCTGCTTTGGGTTTGAGCAACTCTTTATGTTCATTAATTCTGGATATTTAGAGTGTGGTGGCTCCTTACCCAATACCTGGTGAATAAGTTAATTCAATTTTAAACTAAGAATCAATTTTCTTTGTTAGTAATTCACTGGGTAGTATAAAATATCATCGTGTTCAGTCAATCGTTTTATTGGTTATGGCTTTATTCCAGTGAACAATCTCATCAAATTTACAAAATTCTCTGTTAACAGTTTGCTAATTGCAGGAACGGTTGTTAACATCAATGTAGTCTTTTTAATTGTTTTTCATGTTCCTATATGTTTATGTTCCTTTTGTTCGATAAACTATATTTCATTAGTAAAGAAACGTCTCTAACTCTTTAAGAATAATACTTTTGAATGTTAATCCAACTGAACTTTTCCTAGTTCATTGTTTAAAATGCTTAATTTATTTTAAACTGGCATTTATCTACCATCTTATATTAGTATATAGATTATTACATTGAAGTTCATAACTAATCTCATAGCTTTTATTTTTTCGTTACATTCAACAAAACACATGTTAATAGGTAAAATGGTATTTTACATTGTCCTTATTGACAGTGATTGAAAACAAAAAGCACAACTAGTTTGTTTTATTTTTCGTAAAACAAAAAATTTTTTTTCTATTTACATATTTTCTCACTCCACATGTTACCCATTGATTAAACATAAGGTAGTATCATTCACATGTACAAATTTTTCAAAAAAAAAATAGTGTCCACCAATATTTTGAAAACAGCTAGTTACTATCACTTGACTTTTTAATAACATGATCATAATAAATATTATAATATATATAATTAACTTTTTATTCATTTCTATATTGTTAAGAATATTTATCTATTAAACTTGAATAAAAATATGTGCATGTATATACGCCTAATTGTATGTTGTTTATTTAACATTTTATACGATGGAGATAATAAAAATCAAACTTTTCAGTAAATCATATGCCTTTTTTCAAAAATTTTTTTTTACTATCATTATAACAAATGTATTTTTACTGGATGTTATTTGACATTAAGAAATCCTGTCAATGAATTTTTACTGTATTAATTATAAAGGCGATGAAGGGAAGACACATATGCACATACGGATATAATTATTATTTATATAGGATATTGAACTTTTCAAACTAGTTACCTTAATTATAACGATGATATTTTTCAAATTTCTTTTATTTAGAATAGTTGTTTATGTTTGTTTCAATGTTAAATCGACATTATATATATATATATATATATATATATATATATATATATATATATATATATATATATATATATATATTCGTCTACTAATATGGATTGTTATCAATTAACTAAACTAACTAACGAGCTATTGTTTGCTTCATTCCCCTATGGTTAATTTTTTTATTATTATTTGTTTAAGAAATGCCTGGTTTGATGGCATTAAGAAAGCGTGCTAAAACTGATCAGCCATTAAAAGGAGCCAAAATTCTCGGTTGTACACACGTGACCGCGCATACAGCTGTGAGTGAGGATTTTTAACCGCGAGATTTGTTTCTGTTTTGTACATTGTGGTTAGATAGTTTTAAGTGATTATTATGTACACCATGGATATGTATTCTTTTTTTCTCGTTTAATAACTGATTCTTAAATGTTTTACAACTCATTCCCTTTGAAAAAGCTAAGATCGAATTATCGGGTGGGAATGAAATAATTTAATTTACATAGCTAAAATTTCCACAAATATAATTTGTATATGATGTGATTCTTTGGAGTATAACAGATATTTATGACCCTTGATATGTTATATTTATCCGAAAAACGGAAATAATGCGTATCAAATGGTATTCACAATTGAAATCCCGGTAATATTTATGTCGTAGTGAACAAGAACACCAATCAGGACGATCAAATGTATTTTAACACATTACTGAATATCTTGGTGAAATCTGAGAACCATACTGTAAAGACTTCATTTGCCAAATATGCATCGATTGTCTCAAACGTTGTTGTTCGTTCGTGTCCATACCAATTACCCTCTGTTCTGGTTCTCTTCTTTTCGATTTTCCCAACTGTTTGCCACCAGGCATTTCACTTTCGATTGGTGATACATACTACTTATATCTGTCGACATAAGTGGCATGCACTACAATATAATATCACTATTTGTATTGGTTTGATTTAATCCGTTATTAATTAACCCTGAATTTTGATTACCCTTTGCTGGCACGTGTGGATCATAAGCAGATTACGTCAATATTAGATATGGTGTAGTGAACGAGAACCCAGATACGGAAAACCATTTTATTTTTAAGTGCAAAACCACCCAGTGGCTTGGTAAAATATGAAACTCATACATTAAATACATCATTTTCACAGTTTTACGTTGTCCGTTTACCTACTCAACCATCCCCATAGTTCTTTTTGTTATTTCGATTGCTCTCCGATGGTCCTTCTGTTCTCTTCATTCAATTTTCTGCTGCCAGGCTTTCACTACTGATTGGGGTTTCATACTACTTATATCTGTCAGCATAAGTAGCATATACTACGATAATATCATAATTTGTTTAGAATAGTTTGATTGTAGCTAACATTGATTTCCAGTACATGCGTTTCGTCGTTTTTGGGACTCGGCAGATGAATATACGTAAACAACAGGATAACTCAAACTCTTTCTAATGATGATAATAAAAATAATAATGACAAAAAAATAATGATGCAAACAGCATACCCATTAAACGAGTTGATAGCTATCTAAACTCAGTAGCTCAACAAATAGCGCGTTGGTCATTAGAAGCGATAGGTACATACTTCATGTCCCAGTGTGAACGCTGAGACAAAGGTTCGTTAGGTTGTCGAGTTTTGGATGAAATAATATATGTGTCCTGAATTCTACTGCTAGCCGCGATCCACCACTTGTAAGCCCCAGTTATATTTGCCTAGAAAGTCGTGTAGAAAATACGAAGCCTAATATATACAAAGTTTACAAATTATCTAACAGAGTAATCTGGTAGCAGTTCAAATTTATTACTATCGTCGGATAAAATAAATAAATACTAATTACCTAGTTTAAATATTGTGATTGTATCCAAGTATCTATATATATGTAACCACCTAGGATAAGTAGGTTCGACAGTATTAAAACAACTCAGTTGTCAGTTTTCTGCTTAGAAAATTTTGTTATAAGTGTAAGACATATTGTGTTTGCTCAAAGACCTTTCATAATTTGATATTAACACTTCCATTCATAAGTCCTATAACTAAACCGACTGTCAATATTAAACGGCCTACATGAACTTTAGATTTTTTTGTTCAATTAAGTTTTAATTTTTTCTTCCGGTTATCGGACACATGCCTATATACTGTAACATGTTTAATTAATTAAATACAGCGGGTTCAAAATCATATTGTTCTTTGTACTTCTATCATTTTGTTTTTGAAAATGATTAGCTGATGATGAAAATCTATTGAGTCTTCTCAATATGAATTATTCTCATTTCTACTTTCTTGTTTAGATGCACATTTTATTCATTTAGAGAGATTTTTTTCTATCAATTAGGTACTACTTGAAACAATGGTATGTCTTGGCGCTCAAGTTCGATGGTGTGCTTGTAACATATATTCAACACAGGTAAGCCATGTTTGTGCTGTTATGTTTTGGCCATGTTAGAAAAGTTTCTTTTTCAACAGTTTTGGATTGTACATGTTTAAAAGATTCGTTGTATGCAGTTTTTTCAGTAAAGTAATCTACATGATTTGTAGAATTCATAATCATAAACCTTGTAGAAGTTGCTATTTCATATCTTGATGTAACGGATAAAATAATTGAGAGTTAATGTTCGCTAGATACCAGCAAATTATGTCAATAAGTCTTCATTTCGTCTGTTAGCTGTTTACTTCACTGTGTCTAAAAATATCTTTTGCTTTAAAATAATTCAGTGAAAAAGTTTCACAAACATAAAATCAGTCACAAGTTCCGATGTTGAAAAATAAGCATCAACAAAATATTGTTTCACTGATTGACTGACATATTTCATATACTTCTATGTGGTTGTTAAACTTCATGATTTAGTTTATATCACATACTGTGCGCAATGATGATGAAAACTGACTTATTTAAATGTTTTTTTTCTCAAAAATATTTCTACCAAATGATTTATTAATGTCAAATACATATGTACTGTGAAATCAGTAGTTTCTTCATAAATTAATTGGTTCAGATAATTAGTTAAATATATGTGTATTGTTTCGCTACAATTTGATAGTTATTCGTTGATCAAAACGTATATTTGATGAAGCAATTATTCTGTATTTCTATCGGAATAATCATTTGGAACTTACGTTTGAATGTGAGGTATTACTTACTTACTTACGCCTGTTACTCCCAATGGAGCATAGGCCGCCGACCAGCATTCTTCAACCCACTCTGTCCTCCGCCTTCTTTTCTAGTTCCATCTCATGTCTGTCTCCATTTCCCGGCGTAATGTGTTCTTTGGTCTTCCGCTTTTCCTTTGGCCTTGAGGATTCCATGTGAGGGCTTGTCTTGTGACGCAGTTGGGTGCTTTCCTCAATGTGTGTCCTATCCACTTCCAGTGCTTCATCCTGATTTCTTCCTCCATTGGGATCTGATTTGTTCTCTCCCACAGTACGTTGTTGCTAATAGTGTTCGGCCAACGGATCTGAAGTATTTTGCGTAGACAACTGTTAATAAACACCTGTATTTTCTGGGAATGTGAAGTATTAGTTTGTAATATTTCTCTGTATCAATACTATTTAATAATATATGCATGAAGGATATGCTTTTCAATAAGTTTTCTTCGTTTACAATTATATATAGTTAATAGTTCAGAAAGTGGCTAGGTTTAAAACAAAATAAGTTTATAACGCATCCTCGTTTGTGCAAAATCTTACAGCTTTTATATTTTTGTTTAAAGTGGGTATATTTTCAAAATAAACTCACAAGTAACCCATTAAGATATTACAAATATATTATTTTTTTAGTTAACAATTTACCCAATGCCCTATTTGTTTGAATTTATCAAGTCAAGTCTAATGATACATTAGTTGTGTTTCCAGATTATAATAGTCTTTGTTGTTATTCCACCAATCATTAGTTGTCATTGTGCTCTGTTGACTATGAAAAACAGTTTAATCATTATATGATATCATACCAGGACAGTGTCATGTGATTTAATAACTTGGTAGTGTTTCAAATCAGACCATAAATTTTCTTGAAGTTACAACTTATAAACTTATAAATGAGTATGAGCAAATAACACAACTCCCTAGATCAAAGTTGTTCTGTTGTTTTCTTGCAAAAAAAGAAAATTCATGTATTTAATAGTTTTATGTATAGTATTCAAATGTAATGTTAAAAGGGATTTATTCTTAGTCTACGAAAAGCTATTTGTGTCTATTTCCATCGTCATGTGATGAATAATGGAGCTATGCAGCTCAATACTCTTTCCATTGATCCATTCTACTTATTTTTAAATTAAAACGCACTTCAATTACTTTTTAATAAATCATTTAACAACTAAGAGTTAATCTCTTCCGGCTTTTCCTTGTTATCATTGACTGGCAGAGTAGTAGTCTAAGAAATATGAGATCTTTTAATTGTTGGCTGTTCTATCGTCTTTTTTGTATTGTACTTATAAATAACACAAAAATATATCAGATAATTTTGATGAACGCATTTCCTCTGAATTATCTTAACTTAGCAGCCGTTCTAATGCTTCTAATTTTCACTATTATTAGTTTTATTTTCCCATTAATAATTACATGACGATCATATTTGTATGCCCAAGATTTTTCAGCTTTTTAATGTTCGTTGATATTGTAATTATCGTATTAACACTGGTAATACTGTGTAATTATTTTTATTACCATTAAAATACTTTTTGTTTGTTTATAGAATGAAGTGGCAGCAGCGTTAGCTGAGTCCGGTGTTCCTATTTATGCATGGAAAGGCGAAACTGAAGAGGATTTCTGGTGGTGTATTAATCGTTGTATATCTGCTGAAGGTTGGATACCCAATGTAGTATGTCAGATGTTTTTATCCTCTCTACTTATTACTTTGTATGTTGAATTTTATCTGATATTTGAAAATTATTTCTTGATCTTTTGTTGTTTTGACTTAGTGATGTGTTTTTTTCGTGAGAAACGTATTTAGTTGGTATGTTTAAGAAACGTGGAACATAACCTCTTAATTATGTACTTGACAAGGGAGACTTTTTTCACAAACGGTTTATATTTCTTTTTCTTTAACAAGAAATAAGAGTTGTTAATTCTTACTGTTGCAGTTTAATGCAGAAAGATATTGATGAACAAATAAGCCTTATTGTTGGTATATTTGCGAAATAGACTTACAACTAAATTATTAAAGGTGGATACATTCCGGTCCTCACTTAGAATGCATCTGACAGCTGTCCTTCACGCACCACTTTGCACTGTAGTTTGTCGCATGAATTCCTCATGATGTTGACGATTTTCTCAGGTACACCATAGTGTTGAATAAGTTCCTATAATATTCTCCTATCCAAACCGTCAAATGTCTTCTCATAATCAAGGAAGTTAATGTTTGGTAGCTAGTTTCATTCAATTGATTGTGCAACGATGATCCCTATTGTCGCTATTTCGTTTGTGCACGACTGGTCTTTACAGAATCCAGCCCGTTGATCTCAAAGGTTGGTGTCTACTGAATCGTTCATTCGGTTCAACAACACTATTTTGAAAACATCAGAATAATTGAATAGATCAGTTTGTCGTGCAACTAGCTATCTTGACAACTAACATGATCCATCATTGTGTTTCTGTAATTTTGATGTACCCTTGTTTTTATTGATATAATCTTTTTAAGTTCTGAGTACTAAACATAAAAGTCTTAATATAAAGGCCTACACTATATATATATATATATACTGTAAAACTAATCGTAAATTTGCATATTCTTAGACTGGGATTACTTATCATGCCTATAATATTTTATAAAACTGATCTCACGATGGATGAACTAAATCCAGGTTTTGTTTTGCAAGCCGAATATCCATTCACAAATTTCAAAGGTTAATCTTACTGTCTAGTCTAAAGAAAATAATGTTGGCTATATGACGTAATCTTTACAATAAATACATTCAGAATCTTGATCTCAGTAATGAAAATTGCAGCATTACTTACAATATTGACTCAGTAAAACAAACCAGTGGAAAAGTATCGCTTCGAATAAAGTACGGAAATAAAATAAGCACATTCACTATGATAAATTTAACTTAAATTTATACTAAATAAACTTTTAAAAAATCAATTGGTTTTTGTAGTCTATCCATTTAGATACTCGCATGGGCATGATCAGTACGCTGTTATCTGTTATACCGTTAGGTTAGGTTGTCTTCATTTCCTAATTTATATGACCCAAACAAGATTTATCTCATACTCGTACACTGCATATCTTGTCGTTTTTTGTGTTATGAGGTGTAACAACTTGAACAGATGAGTTTTACGTCATTGCATACTTTGTATATAACAGTGTGTGGAACTGTGGCTTAGTGGTTTAGCCATTCGACTCCCAACCTCTAATTTTCAGATTCGAACCCTGCATCACCTATTTCTCTTTGGGCAACTCGGTGGTTCATACTCAAATACCTAGTGAATTATTTGTTTGTCTGTCTGTGATTAACATTTCTGTTACAATACTTTTGCTACAAACACTGGTTGAATGAATTTAGTATATTTTCTTCGTGTAGTTGATAATATGCTTTGCAAATTAACAATTTCCCAGTTAACATTTTCTTGTCATTTTGATCATAATATCATATAGTATTTCAACCTTAGTTCCTTTCATATTACTAACATTTTCAAAATAATCATAAATTTCTCTGTTTGATAAATAATTTGCTTTATGTATAAGGTTAAATGAGGGTTATAGATTTTAAGCCCTCAAATATATGTTCTACAATGATCCTAAAAACATTAATAATATTTTATACTGTTACTTCCTCGCTTCAACTTACCACCATGACTCAAAATCGTAACTAGGGATTGTATTTAACGTTTCTTACTATTGGGTATTCTATTTCATTTTCTTTTTCAGTGAACGACCTCAAAGTTTTTCTAAATTTCATGCAAATACTGGTCATACATTGTTCATCAATTTGCTCTTAATCGAAACAAGCTCATTTGTAAAGACTAGCCCTCTCATCTTACTTCCGTGTGATTATGTCACTATTGATGTGTTTTACATTAATGGTCCAGTTTGTTTGATCATGTTAGATTGTTGTGGACACGCAGTGCTGAAGAATCCCATACGTAAAACAGACGGCCGTCCGGTGCTCCTAGGTTTCTGCTAGTTTTCTTACTTGGATTGGTTCGTGATTTCAATACAATTTTGATTACTTCTAACCAACTTGTGTTTCTGAGATATATTAGATTTTCCATTTCCAACACATTAATGCTTTATTCTGATTTTTCATATTTTTTTCCATTTCTCTTCTCAGGTTTTGGATGATGGTGGGGACTTAACTCATCAGCTGCATAAAAATTACAAGGAACTACTGTCTGGTATATGTGGAATAGTTGAAGAAAGTGTGACAGGTGTTCATCGTCTTTATCAGTACGTGAAATCTGGCACATTGGGAGTGCCGGCTATGAATATTAGCGACAGTATAACAAAGTCAAAGTTCGATAATTTCTATTTGTGCAAAGAATCAATTGTTGATTCGTAAGTTTTGATACCGTCATATGAAACCATATAACAATATATATATATATATATATATATATATATATATATATATATATATATATATATATATATATCGTGATATACAAGGCATTTTGGGATTATATACCCGACTAATTTCCAAGAAATCTGAAAGATTGTTAACATTAATGTTTCAGTAGCTTTGAACATATAATTTTCAAGTTATTCCATGACATTGCTAATCTAACTATCGATATCGGTATATGCTTTGCACCTTCGGAGTGCAAAGTACGTCCACAAGACTGGCAGGATCCTAACCCTGTACTCACCATGGGCAGTGGGCGGATAGAAGTAGTCGAGAAGTTCGTGTATCTGGGTAGCTGCATAAGTGCTGGTGATGTCGTGAGTGATGAGATCAATGCACGTAAAGTGAAAGACAGAGCGGCTTATGCCAACCTGGGCCATCTTTGGCGCCTTCGTGATGCTAGCTTGGCTGTATAAGGTCGGATCTACAACGCGTCGGTGATAGCAGTTTCGCTGTATTCTTGTGAAACCTGGCCTCTCTTAGTTAAGGATGTCAGACGACTCTGTGTTTGATAATCGCTATCTCTGAAGGATTGCTGACATCCAGTGGCAACACCATGTTAGTGATGCAGAGGTTCGGCATCGTGTGTTCGGGCACAGAGACGATAATCCAATTGGTATCACCATCTTAAAACATCGACTTCGGTGGCTTGGACATGTACTACGAATGTCGCCCCAGAGAATTCATCGTCGTGCATTATTTGCGAACGCTGGGACTAGTTAGAAAAAGCGGAGAGGTGGTCAGTGTCTGACATGGTGTCGTGGTATGAAAGAAAGCTGCAAAAGGTTAGCTTCTGTTGGTCGTTCATGACTTCCTGGTTGGGGTCCGAGAGATGGTGCTACACAGTGGCTAGAGACGTTATCAGATATGGCTCAGAATAGAAGCCAGTGGTGAACCTGCGTTGACTTTCTCTTACTTTCTTCATAAAAATGAACGTAAGTTCTTAAACTGGAATGATTCTTTCTGGTTGTATCTTTACTAACTGAACTGCCCGTCCCATTATTATTATTATTTTACTATCACACACTAGTTTCTGTTCGATATTGTTCTCCTTTTTCTTACATGAACTTTATATTCTTCATCTTTTTACATTCTCATTGTTATTGTGTATGTATCTGATGCCCCCTTGTACCAATATTTACGTGTTCAAATAAATAACTAATAAAATAAAACCAAGTTCGGCTAGACATCTCGGAGGTTCTAGCCCTCACACAAATCGAATGGTATATATATATATATTTGATGCCTCCTCGTATCAATGTTTATGTGTTTACATAAGTAATGGTCAAACGTATAGTAGTGATGATTGGTACTGCATAATTTTCAATACAAATCTTCGTAATTCTTCTCCCTTTCAGTCTTAAACGAACTACAGATATGATGATCAGTGGTAAGACTGTATTGGTATGCGGTTATGGTGAAGTTGGGAAAGGTGTTTGTCAAGCGTTAAGAGGATTAGGAGCTTTCGTTTGTATTTCGGAAATAGATCCGATCTGTGCACTTCAAGCTTGGTAAGCAAAAGTTTTTATTTCCTCTCACAAGATTCGATACATTTCCATAGGAAGTTAGAGTTGTGCCTTTTTGGTTAATTTTTCCCTTAGTTTTATTTTAAAGTAATTTTTGTCCTGAACCAATTATATCAAATAGATTCCTCGATAATCAGCTGACATTGGATAGCCGTTAGGTCTTGGTTTGAAACGGTAATCTTGTTTTACACCACATGATTGAGAAAATAACATTCTGATCTCTTATCGAGCACAATGATTTCAAAATACTACTTCAAAATTCAATGCTTTTGACCTTGAGCACTTACTTATCGTGCAAATTGAAAGAGCCAGGTGAATCTATTTTAACAGATAGTAACTTTGTTATGGAGAACACGAACCGACTTGAGTAAAACAGCCATTGAATATATATATATATATATATATATATATATATATATATATATATATATATATATACTGTTGAGTAACTTCAGAATCAGACAAGGTCTTTGAATAACATTCCACGAATGCTTTTTAGTGTTAAAATCATTCAGGTTTTCCTGGAATGCCGAAGTGTTATAAATAGTAGCTTGAGATTTCTCAGAGTTTCTATTTATTTTTGTCTTTCTGTTTACTTCGAAGCATGGATGGTTATCGTGTTGTAAAAATCGACGAAGTTATACGTTCAGTGGATATTGTGGTTACTTGCACCGGGAATAAAGGTGTCATTACTCGGGCCCATATGGATCAAATGAAAAGTGGTTGTGTCGTATGCAATATGGGTCATTCTAACACAGAAATCGATGTTGTATGTGTTTGCTTACACTTTAATTTTGTACAAATGTTTTTAGCTGCAAACAATTTCATTACTATACATTTATATAGATAGATATTCAGTTCATGATTTCGGTAAACATTTTATCAAAAGTTGTCTGATCAATTATAACCTATTTCGCCTTTTGATATAGTCAAAATAAGAAAATGTCAATTATTCATTGAATAAAATAAAAATATTAAGCTCTAATCTAACACATTTCGTTATAAATTTCTCAGTCTTTATTTAGTCAGTAATATGAAACATTTGTATTTACTGCATACTGGTGAATAGAGAAATTCAACTTAATAGTTGTATTCTATTGAAGTGAGCAATAGTTTGTTGTTGGCATTCATTGATAACTATGTAAATGTTTGAATTATAACTAGTAACCTATAGGGTTTTGTCCTTATATCTTAAGAAAGTCTATGATGCTTCTATCAGCTTATCCAACCTATAACTAACATTTAAAACAAATGCAGCGTAGGTACTTCGGAATTCTTAGCTTGTTTTGGGGTAGTAGCTATGTCATTTATTATTACAAGCTTATAAACTTATTTAATTTTTCAGCTTATCGAAAACTCTCAACAGATTATATGATTTAATTTTGTTGTTAAGTGTACAACTTGAGCAGAGAAGTGTTTCTTATCAGTTAGCATCTTATTATGGCTCAACACTAATGCACAGGTTTACACTTAGACTTAAAGGTCGACACCAATGAAATGCATGTAAGTAAATATAATTATAATAAACGATATGCTAAAGCCAAGGGTTGATTGGCTGATTCTAATTACGCGATCTTTTGACCTCAGAAGGGAATTATACTAAAAGTTCGAGAAAATCATTCATATACGTATAAAATCACTTGGATTTTTTAGTAATCTAAGTAAATTCCATTTTGTAAAAATTGTTGTTTAGGTATATTATTAAATTTTCTATGGCACTTTTCAGTTGTGATTAGTTATTAAATGTGTTTTTATAACTGAGTTTTTTTGTCATTTAAAAACCTTCGACGGTTTGTTTACGAAAAATGCCCCCTTGTACTAACCTTATTCATGTGTTCATCAAATTAGTTAGTACATATATGTAATGCAATTTAGTTGGATATGTCTTAATTTATCCCAGTAATCAGACGCGATTGTTCATATGTATACTTGTGCTATGGTGTAATCATTTCTGCGACACGTACTAAATGATATATGATTAGTAACATACTAATTTCTATCCCGATCTTTACGTCTCATTTGAGATGTTTCAAAAGGCAAAGATCATGTGGTTCTTTAACATCATATTTTCAGACAATAATACATTAATATTTCCTTTATAATATACCTCATATTTGTTTCAATCTCTTAATCGTTTAGCGATCTCTTCAAACACCTGATTTAACATGGGAGCGTGTTCGATCACAAGTGGATCATGTTATTTGGATGGATGGTAAACGTATTGTTCTTATAGCTGAGGTTAGAGCATGTCTTTCATATGAAATGTTACTTCTGTTTTCGTTTATAATCATTTTTTATTAATTGAATATGGGTTTATTTTTCTCTTCATTGTTTGATATCTTCAATAGGGTGGTCAAACCAAAACGTAGTATCAGTATCAGTCCATGAAGTTATTGACTGTTGGTTTGGTCTATTTTTGACAAGTGCGAACTACCTGGTTAGTGTCCGCAAAATATCTGCAGTCAGGTGATATATTGTCGGTTAAAATGACACACATTCACTCACTTTATATTCCTGTCTATTGTAGACTCTAGTATTCCTTCACTCATACCTTCACACCTTGTCTTCTCAAAGCATATTCGCAATGATTAGTCTTTCCTATTATGATTGCTACTACATTATTCCCACCTCTTTTGCAATTCATCTTTTTAATTTCGTTTCATTGTGCTAATGTGGTTTACAAACTGAACTGTGTATCAGGCTTTTGTTTAGGAGAAAGTGGGTTTCAATTATTTCTTTTTTAAACTTATTTACAACTTTGATTCTATTAGAATTTATTTGTGCTTTCTTGTTCTTCTAGGGTCGTTTGGCGAATTTAAGCTGTTCAACTGTTCCATCGATTGTTGTCTCTGTTAGCGCCAGTACTCAAGTTAGTTTGCGATAAACTGGGTTCATTATTTTGGATAATTGTTTTTTAACGTTACTACTATATACTCAGTATCATTTGATTGAAGTTACCAAAATGACTCAGTATTGTTAGTTTAAGTGATAAGGTGGTACCTGGTACCTGGTAATTGTACTATATAAATAATTTCACATGTTTTTTAATGTAAACAACATTTAATACATACAAGAATTCTTATCGTAATGATCCGATTTTAAACTATATGTTCTTCTTGTCACCATAAGAGCTTGAAAATGAACATTTAGTCATTAGATGAATCTAGACAACATGATACTTAATAAATATTCATCGTTTATTTAATTCGTTTTGATATTTTAACTTTATTTGATTCGCTTTTCTTACCATAGTCTAAGTTACCTGGAAACATGAGTTTTCATACTTCACACAGTGAGACTGAATAATCTAGTTTAGTGGGCAAACAATAATAATGAATTTTGTGCTGATGATGTCGTTCAGAAGAACGATAAAAGCTCCACGACCAAATCATCCAGCTCAGAGAACAAAACTCCATCAAAATAATAATGTATTTTTTGTTACTGAATGATATGTACTTCACATGTTCATATCTTCAAGAGCCTCCTTTTAATTATCTATAGTAAATTAGTATGAGCACTTTGTTCTGGTCTTTGTAATCTTAATTTTGTTGATTGACATTCTGTGCTGGAAAAGAACATCCCATCGTATGACAAACTTTTTTTGTCAGAATGTAAGTTTACAATGATTTGTGTAGTCTAATATAGAAATGACCAATCAGACATATTCCATTCAATTATATAACCTGTAAATGATGCAGGATGCTTATTCCAGAAAGATCTTTTAGTTCAACTGGCCAAAAATTTTGGCGAATAGTAATGATAATAATAATAACCATGTACAAGAAGTAATTCATTGTAGATTCGTGAATATCATTCTTAACAATATATTTACCATATATATCATAGTTACAAATGATTTAAGTTATCTAGTTGTTGACAACCTTAAAATAATTTTCGATCAGTTGGTTGGCATCCTGGATTCCACCGCTAGTCACGATCTATCTGTTCTATGAATATACTTTAATACATAGAACATTTATTGTATTATAGTATCAATTAATTTTTAAAAAAAACTAGTTTTTTGGCAGCGTTTAATACTTATTCAAAAATTTGGATTCATTTCTTGTGTGTGTGTGTGTGTGTGTGTGTGTGTGTGTGTGTGTGTAAGTATAATAAACCTTATATTCACAAGTGCTCACATAAAAAAACATCAAACTTATGACCCAAATAAAATTATTCATAGTTTTAAATACATATGAACTGATGTTATAAATTTTACATGATTTCTAACGAAATTTTACAATGAAAAAGAAATACACAATGTAAATTAATATGTCAACAATACTGTCATGTAAATATTATATAATAGAAACAATATTATGCAAGTTTAATTTGTGATTTTATCTGCTGTATGTATGATGTAGTTGTGCCGAATGCAAATCAACCATTTATACTATTCTATTTTGTTTATTTATTCAAGGATAAGGGAATAAAATGCATATCTTTTATTATTATTATATGTATTTATCATAAGGTCTTTGTTCTGTTATGCAAATTTCATTTTATTTGAATAATTCCACTTTTTTTATAATAAAAAAAAGTGGTCTACAATAAAATTATATGTTTGATCCTAAAATTTATAAACTTAAACAAAACATATGTGTTTTCTTCTTTTTGGGAAAAAATATTTTAAATTTATTTACTCTAATTGATTTGTATAATTTTTATCCAGATATTAGCTTTGATTGAATTGTACAATGCTCCTGCTGGTCGTTATAAAAATGATGTGTATTTGTTACCGAAAAAAATGGGTAAGAGTGATAGTTTATGTGAATGATTGTAACTGTTTACTATGTTCATCCGTTTGTTTGTTGTTTTTTTTTTTGCTTATAGTAAAAAATATGTTTAATTATCTGTTTATAAATCTTTTACTATTGAACGGTAACTTTTCGTGTACATTATAGTGCATCATTTTATGTTGATTATGTGAAGGCGTGAAAGGTCGACAGGTTGAATCCATTGTTTGCATGAACACTTGACCAATCAAGTGAATGTCTGTATTATGTCTAAAATTTACTCCAAGTCCCATCTTTGTCCCCCAGGATGTGATGTTTTTTAGCAGTTTGATTCATCAATTAATACATACTTGTTAGTACTCACCAAATTATCTATTCAGAGAAGATTAAGGTTATGGTGGAAACATTATTACTGAAACTTGAAAATTTATTCAGTATCCATGAGTATATATATAAGTATTGACTCAGACAGGGATATATGAATAATGACACTGGTCAAAATAATGATCATCTCACACACAATAGACCCATTTACATTTGTATTTTTCTCCCACTGTTTGGCTTTCGAATAACATATGGTCTGCTCAGCCTTATAACATGTAATCTATTCGAAACTGTCCGGCCTATCAGTTCTCTCTCTTGAAAAGTAGGTCTTTTACGGATTGAAATGTTTGATTTGGGATGAACGATATTTTCTTGGTAGTCTTTTTAGAGTCTAGCCACTGTATCTGAGGCCGATATAAAGGACCAGTTAATATGGTCTAAACGTATCGACAAGACAGCCTAAAGACAAATTAAACGTAGTCAGTTCTTGAAATGTTTCATATTTTCTCGGAACTGTGTGTAATTCATAGGTGTTAAGGATTTCTTCTTGATACTTGTTTCGCAGATCACGGAAGCAGCTTTCCTTTAAATGACACTTTATGAAGTTGTGCACTCATGAATTGAAGGCTAAAACTGATGAAAGTCGCTAGTCTATATGAGAAGCGTTCTACGAACTATATTATTCACATATAACTTGCATACTGTCTTCCGTATGACAGTTTATTAAAGTTGGGGATATTTTTTATGTGTGAATGCTTTCAAGCTCTTCTTCACTCATCTGGTGTTTCTTTCCTGTATTCATTTTTGTTTGACTGAAAATAATATTTTTACTTGTTCGTGACCAGTTACAATTATTTGTTTTTTTAGTTGAACGACGAAATCTACTTATCTACGCATTTACTTCACTTTTTATTATTGTTTGTCTTCGCTTCCCCTTGTTTTATCTAGGTATTCTTCTTATTGTCAAGTTTAAATTAAATTCTTATTACAAATTCTCTTTTCGAGATCATTTTTTTTAGGACAAAAGAATCATTAGGTGTGGCCAAATTTTCTTCTCTGCTAACCTTTTCGTGTTTTTTTCCATTCACTCTACAAGATCATCTCTTTGTTTTGTTTTCTCGGATAAACAAGAGTTGCTTTTTGTTGTATAGTTTAACGTTTATTCATTATTCCACTGTGTTATTTATTGAAAGAAAATGATATAAATCAGAAAGTCATAATATATAATTTAGTATTAATTTTAGTTTGTCCTACTTCCTTGTTCCATTTTTATTTCACTTCACAAAGTTATTAGGTTTTTGTTATATAAATCCTAAATGTTTCTCCATTACTGGTGTACAAAGATATTTTAGGTTAATTTTATTATTTTTTTGATTGGATAAATTGTGTTGCTTTCTGAATTTTTCACTGTGTTTGGCAAGCTTTATTACATGTCTTAATCAACTCCGTCTACGATGATTCACCACACCTCATCAACCGATTTGTCATGTTCACCTTATATTTACGTTATACTTAACATCATCATGGCTCATTCTATGATCTCAACATATGAAATATTTTGATCAAATAGAATGTAATTATTAAACCAACGACTGAGATCATTTGGTGGGATTAACAATATATCATCTGAAAGGCTTGAATATATGTTTTCTATGTATGATATTCAATTCGCTTTTAACATGCTTCACTAACAATAGTAGACAAAATTTTATCATGATGGGTTCACCCATCTAAGCTCTAGTTTATTTAAAACATATAAACAAATATAACCAGTTGTTTTTATTCATTGAAAGGAAATAAATAACATGAACGAAGTTAATTTATCACAAGATTCGTGATTTTCTGAAATGAATCGGTTGATGTAATCGAACGTGAAAAATGACTTTTGATATTTTTATATTTTATCGTATTATCATAAACGTGTGCTTTTTTGACCAAATGACATAAATAACTTTGTGGAAGTCTGCACCAAGACTTTCATTTCCAATTGAAACTTAACAATATTTCATCGATTGGTTAGTATTAACTCAAAATTTCGGTTTTGTATACAGTAACGAGGTTGTTGTTTTATTGCAATTGATATTGTTGTATTTTCTGAGCTAGATGATTTAGTTTACAGTGATCTTATTGTCGTTCTAGTCGATATTATCAGTGCTTAGTTCATATAGAAGTGTAGACTGTTATAAGAGTGTGTTATTCTTCATTGTTTTTTTTGTGTTTTTTCTGTAAATATTGTCGTTATTCTAAAATATCACGTTCCGAAAGTTCATAGTTGTTAATGTATTGTATTAATTTAACCATTTTTTTGTTGATACTACAGATGAATATGTGGCAACATTGCATCTTCCATTATTCAATGGTCGAATAACTGAACTCACTGATGAACAAGCTCGATATTTAGGTGTAAATAAAACAGGACCATTTAAACCGAGTAACTACAAGTAAGAAAATATTATAAGGTTTTTTCATTATTAGCACATTAAGTCGAACCAAACTATACTTATTCACATTGAGGAATAAATAGAATAATATTATCCAAAACTGTCATACACTATAAAATTGTCTTTCTCACCTCTTTTTACTTATCGACAAACTAACCAAAGGGTTAGTTTCACTAAGATTCCTGGTATACTTGTTGAAATTGCGTTACCTGAGCTGGGTGGTTCAAACATTAAGCTGTCAATGTTTTTTGTAGATAACATCAGTACAAACTTTAGAAGAAAGTTTAGTTTTGGAATTTATCAACAAGTAACTACTAACAACTTGTTCTGTCTACTTAAAATTTGATTGATCATTGTTTGAACCTATCTCACTATTATCTACACATTCATCTTGTTTATCTTGTCCTGGTTCTTGATTATTTGGTTGCTTTTGATTTTTCTAATTGGTTGGTGAATTGCGTTTATTTCATAATGTATGTTAAATGTTTACTGATTTCAGTCTCAAGCTTACAGAAATCCTCTCATTTTCTTTGTGTTTTTTCTAACTAAAACTTTGCCGTATTTGCAGTTTAACATGTGTCCGTAGTTGTCTATATGTATTAATATATGCTAACATATGTCTTGGGATTTGACGGCAAAGTGGGATTATTGTAGACGACGGTGAAGAGAATGAGCTCTCTGTATTATGTAGTATTTTTAACGATTTTGTCTTTGGGTTTACATAACATTAACTGAAGTGACTTTGCTGGGTTGAGGCCGACATCTGTTATTTGAGCTGGATGGTTTGATCACGGAGCTTTCATCGTTCTTCTTGCACAAACTTCAAGTAGAAGTGAAGTGTTTGAATTCCTCCACATATGACTCACACCTTGTCCTGTCAACCTTGATCCTAATTGATTATTGTTGACCATCAAACTGTCATTGTTTACTTCTCTATTTAGATTGCATTTCCCTTAACTAAATTCTTATCGACAGTATTTTATGACCTATCCGTTTAAGAGGTGTAGTAAGAGCTCAAAAAGGTGAAAACTTATTCAGTTACTTTTTCGTTTTTTTGCATATGATTCTATACACTGCAGTTCGTATGAAGTAGATGATGAGTTTTATAAGAAGTTTTCTGGTCTTAAGCTTGCGAGGGACAAGCGTGGTAGTCGTTCCAGGCAGTGTTAACACTAAAGCAGATATTCTAAATCGAGTTGGGAAATAATAAGTTGGGTCATTTAGTGTATCAGTTGAGCGAACAATTAACGGTGGTCGTTTCCTGCAATTATTGTCAGATAGTCGTATTCCCCTTTCAAGTACGAGGTTTAATGATAAGGAGATGTTGTCTTACCTGCATCACACGCCCTAACACAACTATGGGTACATATAAACATAATAACTATCACTGGTCATCGAAGAAGTTCGATAGATAGGTGCCTAAGCATTCCTTCTAGATAACATGGTTATATATGTATGAACTTGCAAAACACCCTGATGATAATAAGAAACAAACTTTTATTCCGTATTCATTTATGTATGACCCATTGTGTATATCTGTACTGTTCGTAATATAATATATTTCATTCATGCCTTTTGCTTAGTCTCAATTTATAAATGTATGTTTTACCTTCAGTAACGTTTTATACGTCTACATTTCCGTTGTAGATTTTTTACTTCAAGTATTCATTTCATTGTATCAGATTTTAGAACAAACTAAATTTTATTTCGGCATATTTTTCCTATATTTTAGATACTAAACTTGTTCTCATTCTTCGTTTCTCCTCATGCACTGACTGCTGTTACATTTATTGGAAAATGTCTTCCTGTTCAGCATGTATACGTTGTATTTATTTGATTTTCGTAGAAAGTATGGTAGAATATTACATCTAATGTACTCTAAATAAATATGTTGAAGTACGAATTTCTCATTCTCTTACTCTGTTTATTCTCATAACTTTCAATTACATTCCAATAACTATTGTGTAAAAGAGTTGCTTTGTATTAATCTAGTATATTTTCATGTTTCACCATTAATTTAACTTATGTCTTTCCTTGTTAATCTTCTTTGTAGATTTAGCGTTAAAAAAGATCATTTTTTATTTTGATTACATATATTAGTTTGATTCACCCTCACGGTAATTCTATTATCTGCCTCATAAATACACTGATATATTAATGTTATCGAAATGTTAATTAGCCTAGGGTTGTCTTCAAGTATCACTCTGTGGTGACGCTGTTATTTTTCCTCATACTGATTTCTGTGTCATTATGGCGTCCTGTATCTTTGTTAGTGAATCCTGTTGAATCTATCGGAATATTACGTAATTAGTCGTGTTTTAACTAGTTTCTCTTAATCAGACAAGCATTAATAATTCATTCATTATAATTCTAATTGATTTGTCTTTACCATGTATTATTTTTGTATTTTTTTCGTGATTTCCCCTCTTGCAATTCTATTTAACCATTTACTTTCCTCATTCATAACATACAGCGTTCTGTTTGACCTTGTGTAGAATACAGATAGTTATTTATAGTCTGTATGTATCGTCTATATGATACTTGCACTGTTTTTTTTAATATTGAATATGATATGATTCTACGCACATTCACATCAATTTTATAATGGCTGTGGTAAGGACTAGATCTTTTTTGCTTGTATCCACGTATTCTTTAGACATGTTACAATAAGTAATTCGACATTCAGTAGTTTGCAGTGTAGATTACTTTATCTGATATCCAAATGTTACTTACTTTATGAACGGTTATTTTGGATAGGCTTTTGCGAATCAATGTTGAATATGTTTGACGATCTACTGATGTGTCCATTATACGTAACACTAATGAGAGTTTGATGAAAAGCCTGTGATAGAACTCTAAAGTTTTTGTTTATTAACCTGTATGTAAAATAATAGGGAAACATCCGGTTTTGTGTCTGACGATCGTTAATAATATCCGATGTTAACTTGTACAATTACTTTATTGTGTAACTATGATAATGTGTGTGTCAGTCACCCGTCTCTAACATAAGATGGATCTGGACAGTTTAGTTTTACTAATCGATGATTCAAATACGAGAGTAATAAACAATCCCACCCCAATAAGCGTTCCGAAACTGAATCATTTTAATGATTTTTCTAGTTACTAATAACTTATTTGAGTACATAAAATTTTTAAGTCCTGTTGTAAGTCGGTCGATGGCCCCAAACTATAGAAAAACAATTTATCTGTTTTATCTTAAAACATCTTTATATTGTGATTTAAAGGAAGCGCTGTTATCTGTCATTAGCTTCTTTCATTCTTTCCATTTTATACTGCGAAAGCAACGGTTTAAACTCCAATTTATCAATAAGCTTAGGATTATTTCACTTTCTAAGTTTTAGCCGTATGAACGCAAATAAGTTCTGATGAGAAACACCGTTAAGTTATTCTATGTGCATTGCGAAAAACGATCTGACTGAATTTCTTGAGCATACTACTGAGTTATGAGTTATTCTTAAAAACGATCATGTATTAATAACTTGAGGCAAAAAATGACAGACTAGGTTTGAGTACTTGAGGACTCATGAAAAACATTTTCACTACCTGCATGTGCGGATTCTCAAAAGCCTTATTTGGCCCTTAATAAATAAAGTGGACATCGATAGGTAAGGTAAGAGCACTTCATTAGACCTTTTTTCAATTCATACGTAGTAGTTATCTGGACAACGTTTCCGGCATCTGTCGTTACCACACGCTATTTATTATGAAGTAACCCGTAGACTTAACAGACTTGTTTATTAAAGCGTCTATTTACATGCCACTAAGCATTACTAAATCACGATCGCCAATCAGAATGCCGACTTGTTGTTTTGCGGGACCATTGTTGCGTTAACCAGCACGAATAGCCTTGAGTCAACTACGGGTCCTTATTGATCATCTGTATAAGTAACCCCTCGCTTAGCTCAGCTCTTTCATTTCGGAGCACAAATATCAGCCTTCCTCCGTAGGAATCGTATATTCCAGACATATTCGGTTTATATACAAACAGACCAGATCTTATCACAAATGTAGAAACATTAATTATACAAAGTCAAGCCAAACGGATGTGGTTCAGTATATCAGTGGTCAACAAGTCGAGTGAAAGCTTATCATAAGGGGAATATAGGTGTATATAATCCAGTTACTTATTAGTTGTACAATACAATATAGTATATATATAGTAACAGTCTGTAAATAGTTCTCGTAATTCGCCAATAGTATAATATTCGAATACAACGGTATCGAAGTCGAAGCATAGTATTTCGTTGATTTTTTTAAGGATTGGTATGTATATTTTTTATGAATATTAGAAACAGGGGCAGGTCGTTATTCGTTGTACGGGCTGGTCAATACGCCTATAGGCTATTGACAATACTGGCTTTACACTTCGTTCACAAACCTAGGCATTAATTACATGCGGTTTAAATAACTCGTAAGGTGGATTTATGCTTTCTATTTCTTTGAAGAGTGTTGAAATTTATTTTAATTACCTGAACCTATCTAAATTTGAACATAGCAATGTAGTGTTGTAGGGCCAATGATATGTCACTGAGCCCTAACCAAATCATCCGACAGTTGGGTCACTGAATATCGGACAGATCCTCGACTTCTGTCAAAGCCAAAGGCAACCAACGCGTATACGTTGGTCGTGTGCCATGGACTGCCCCATGCGGTCGTGGTCCCACTATATTCTCTGTACTCATTCTTACTGATATATGTCCGTAATAACATTCTTTGTGTTGTACGGTCTTCTAAGCATCCATACTTCCTTGATACATCGAAGGTTGTAATCCACGTTATGCCCCCAACCATTCGACATAGTCACCTACGCTGGTGATCTACTGCGTATTACGAATCGCCAGGTGTAAAAATCAAATATATATTGAAAGTTAAAGCTTGAATTGGAGTTCTTATTAAAATATTATGCATTTATATGTTGCACCTACCCTGCGAAAAATCAACAAAATTCCTGAAAATGCTTAATTCTGTTAACATATTGCTTGCTAGAGAGCGTATGCACGGTCACATTAACATAACATCTACTGAGCGCGTTATTATTTGGTGTAATGTTCATTATTTCCTGCATTTCTGTAAGTCATAATAAATGATATTTCGTAGGTATCAATGTCAAGGTTTGACCTGATAATTTTAAATAGATTGATCACTGAGGAAATTGTTATAAATAAAGGTAACATCTTAATGATTAGAAAACTCATAAGCAAATTAGTTTGGTTGCTTTTTCCCTGAAGAAGTGACTTTCACTGAGTCCGGAAAATCAGAAAATTTAATTTTCCTACTCATTGGGATATTTTTATTTTTATTTATAGATGCTATTTCGTTTCGCTTACTGCTTTGGTTATTTTATAGTTTTGTATTGGTTTTCAGCGTTTAAGTTTGCAGAATTTTTACTACTTGTACAACGTTCGTATCGTTAGTCTTGTATATTTATCGATTAGGTTATTTGTTTCGTGATTTTGACCTTGAGGTATGTTTTTCACGTTTTTAAAGTCTCAAAATTTACACCGTTATCACAAATTACGTTTTAGATGAATGATAAACGATTATGATGTTAATCGTAATATTTGTCCTATAGGGACATGGATAAATAATATATTTTGCAACTACAAAATGAAGATCATGTCTTTTCTTTCTTTTTTGTTGTTCTATGTGTAATCACGTTTATATTCAATATTTATTGTGGACATTTATAATTGGTAAATCGCTGCACATGCTACTTTCAAATTTTATACAAACGTTATCTATGCCATTTTTCTACTTTATCAGTGACGGCCTGTGATTTGAAGATTATATTAAGGTCACAACATTCTTCCTGGTCGTTCTGTCAACGTAGGATTATTGGGTTGAGTTATTTTTTGATAACGCTATCGGATCTATGTTTCTCTCCACGCCATTTGTCCAAAACATGCAGATTCGGGAGTGTTCCCTATTGTTATTAGTGTTAATAGTTACCAATATTGTAAAACGTTAATCAAGCAACGAATGCTTTGTAGCAACGTGAAAATATATACCAGTACTGCTGATGGGCGTGTAGCATGGCGTCGAGTCGCGGTAGACTATGAACACCGCTACCAAGAAACACGTGCCTAATAAATCCATAAAATCCCCCAGGCTAGATATCAGCAGGCAGTTAATGGACCAAGTCGAGATATATTTGCTGGCCGGAGTTACGTGTTTTACTACTAAGGATTTGTTTACTGCGTTTCGGTTGGATTGTAGAACAACATGTGGTTTCCTTAACATATAAAGTTTTACGGCTACAAAAATATTTAGTTTGGCACAAGACTTCATGGCATCTCTTCATCGGGTATGTAAATGACTTACCATTACAGTTAAACGAACCAAGTGCTTAAATGTCAGTTACAAAGCTAACGTTAGCTGACCTTGCCTCGAAAATTGCTCATCCTTATTTTAAATGATTGTTAACACTATGAAACATTCGTTGCTTGTGTTGGTAATTCCCAACTCAGACTTTAGTAATGTGAACTATAATCTTCTTTCTGTCTCTCTACCTATGGTAAAATGACTGGTTTGGTGGTTGAAGATTCATTAGCGTTAGCCCCGGCAACATCGGTAAAACCAACTTCGTCATCGATTTTAAATCTTTTCAAAACGATTCGAATTTGCGAACCAGCTTTCGTAAAAAAACAGTTTATTGTAAAATGTACGCATTGCAAAGCAGCCACTGTCAAAGGTTTTCGTGCTTTATGGTCAGTTCGCCGAGCGTTCAAATCTTTTAACGAGGAAACGTTTCGAATTTTATATCCCATATATGTTTGACCACATTTAGGGTACTGTATCCAAGCAGCTAGCCCGTGTCTGGTAAATGATACTAACTCCCTTGAGCGTATCCAGCGTGTGGGAACGAAATTAGTGAAGGGTCTTTCTAGACTCCCTTACGATGAGCGTTTAAAACGCCTAAATCTTTTCCTCTTGTCGTGTCGTAGGACACGTGGTGACCTTATACTGGCATTTCGTATCTTTAATTATGATTTGAGTGTTAATATTTCTTATCTTTTCGCTCTTTCAGCACTAATAATCTCCGAGGTCATAGCAAGAAGGTTCATAAACCACGATCAAATAAACTTAAAGTGGGGTCCTGTGGTATCAGCCCCATCAGTGAATACTTTTATGGAAAAGCTGGACCTTCACTGGAAAGCAATGTGTCAGGATTAATGCAGGTTCACCAACCTACTATCCTCATTACTGAAGACTGAATAGGTCACATCGCATAATTATGTGCACAGATACCAAACCCTGACTACAATGATGTGCATGAGTTTTTCAGTTGTGAATTTGACGTTGAGTGTATGCGCATCAACTGTTTGCGAACTGAAAAACATGAATTCTGTGCAGGTTGTCCATTATCGGGTTTCAATAAATTCGTAATTCGTTTTACTGAATACCATGCATTTTGACTGAAGCAAAATATTACTCATGTATGACTAATTTCATGATGAAGCAGCTGTTCATAGCATGAAAACTTTTAATGGCAATGTATGTTTACTGTGGCCTCAAACAGCAAAAAACGTTTATCCGCTTCTGATAGCATAACATTCGTCACTCTCGTAATTTGTCCGACTATTGAGTCAATGGTGAAGTCGTATTTCATATCCCGAACTGATGATAAATCTGGTATCTTAAAGTGCTGTGGTTGATCACTAACCTGCCACAAAACTTCAAAAAACAAGAGATTTCCGTGCAAATCAGACGTTAGTAGTTATCCATCAGGAAATTGTCTCACTGATAATAATGTTATCCCACAATTTAGTCCAGTAATCTGAAATAATAAGGATTTTAGCAGACGTTACGACCGTAAAAATAAAGTTTTGGTGACTAAAATAACTTAACACTATTAAAGACAATATGCCAAGCCTAACCAAAAACTGAAGCGTTACTTGTTACACAT